ATCCGATGCTACGGAAGTATTCGAATCGGATCCTGCCGCTGTAGTTAAATGTGATAAAGAGTACTTGATCCGGCAATTAATTCAATTGGGGACACGGTGTAACGTGTATTAACTTCGTTGGTTTGGAGAAACTCGGGAATTCAAATTGATCGGCGTCTTGAAATGGAATTCGGAGTGGAAGTGAATCTTAAAGTGGAAATTAAGGTACACGGAATTGGAGGTCTGTTTTTAGAGATAGCTGGTGCTGGCTGATGATGTATGCTTTCTGTCTTTGCATTCGAATTTTAAATATAAGATACAGGTGAAGTGTTGTTATCTCTGCCCTGCGACTTCGCGTTAAGCTCGTGGAGATTTCGAATAGAGTTTAGCGAATATAAATGTCATTTAATTCTTTCGAGTCTGAGTTAATAATACTGTGTTTTTATTATTAATTGCAATGCCTCTAAGTGAATGTAGTCATAGAATAAGTATTTTTATCTTTTTTAATGGATTATAAATAACAAAATATCTCTGTTGAGAGACATTGGGAAAGAAATCATAGAGCAGGGTGAATCACGTTAAATGAGATGCTAGTTCGAAGGAGTTGAGATTCGAAGGTTCATATTTTCCAGGAAATGTGTTATTTAAAATCAAACACTTGTCTGAAATATTCTCTGGCGAGTTGATAAAGGGACGTTCAACGTTACGTCCTCGAGTACCGCTCGCAGGGACTGTAACAAAGACACAGCTGGATATCACGCTTTCGCAGAAGGGATTCGGCTATTTGGACAGCGTTTAAATGAAGCGGCAGCGAGACATCTGACGAGTCGCAGTTCCTTTGTCGGAGAAAGCTGCGTCCGTCACGGAATCCTTGCGACACCTATTCCGCCGATGCTTCCGATTCAAAACCTGAGCTTACCGTATGAATACATGCATTAAGGAGATTCCTGGGACAGACACCGCCGCTCGACATTGTCGCTGGGATACTGTATCTGGATTTCCGGGGAGAAGACCCTGTCCGCCATTAAAGTCACTTCAGACGTGATATCGTTAGCATTTTTTCGGGAGGCGTCCCCCTTTCTCCGTATGATGTTCGAACATCCAGTTCGATTTTGTGGAGGACCTTGTATGCAACTGTTTGCAGTTTAAGTTGTAACATTGTCATTGTTAATGTTCGTGCGAAATATCCACAGTGTTTTTACTAGTTGATACAATATTTTTCTGTGAATATTGTTGGAATATTTTTCTACTTTATGTAATATTGTTACTATTAATAACTCTGCGTAATATTCACAATATTCTACTGTTCGGTGTAATATTCGTAATATTTTACTGTTCAACACAATATTGCTACTCTTAACATTAACGCTCAATATTCGCGATATTCACTATTCAATACAATATTGTAATATTTCACAGTTCAACGCAATATTGTTACTATAAACATTAACGCGCAATATTCGCAATACTTTTCTGCTTAATGTAATATTGTTACTATTAATATCTCTGCGCGATATTTCAATGCATAATTCAATTCAATATTCTTGCTATTAGTATCAACACACAATATTCGCAGAATAATTTTCTGTTCCATGCAACATTTATACAATCAATATTAATTCGCAATGTATCAATATTTGTTTCGTAATGGTCCCTCAATTAGATACCAATGTCTACATTCACTGATAATTCTCACCTTCTTTTTCTAAGGATTCCTACATTTGTATCGTTTGTCCTCGCAGGCGTGGGTCGCTGTCTTATAGACAGAGGACACCTGTGTCTTAATTAAAGTTGCCTGACTTCTGGCTTTCCGTGGCCCTCCATGCCACTCGTCGGATCTGTTCCCCAAGGGTGCAATTTACTCGTACCCCTCGCCACCCTTTTTCACCCCCTCAACCGACGCGACTAACTTACGTCTACCTTGGTTTAGACTCTTGAATACGGCTACTGATTTTCTCGCCTTTCATCGCCCAACTTTGATTTATTTCTACTCGCGGCGTAACGTCACTTCAGATTAAGATTAGAGGCCCCTGAGAAATTCGCCGTTGGCGGGATCGAGTTTTAATTACTCCCGAGCCTCACGTCTTTTATTAATATTCACTCAGTGGGTAGTCTGTTGCTACCTTCGCTGGATTAAAGATGTTCGCAGTTCCATGGAAAAGTACTTACAAACGGAAACCAGTGAATTTTTATAAAATATTCGGATACGTCATTTCTTTCACTTACAGTTTCAATAATAATTTATCTTCTTCATTTCTAATCATTTCCTTCGAGAAACTGTCCTCATTTAATAACTAGATTCCGTTACTCGCTACGATTTGCGGATTCAGGATTCCAATTAATAATTACCACTGTTATTAAAAGTATAATTTAAAAATCTTTAAATTCTGATTATCAATCTTTGATAAATTCTTCAATACTTAATAAACGATATACAGATTAACACGTTGAATGCTACGATAAACTTCAGTGTTTTCTATCACTAATTCCTTCGCAGCACACGCGAAAGGGAAGAATTATTAATTATTCGTTATCACAATTTTTACATTACACAATTATCTACTTATCCCAGCTACATGATATTTGTATTCGACGTCATCTCACAAATTATAATTCTTTTCCAGTAATTATGAAGCTCTGGTCATCGAGGACAGTGGCAATCAAGGTGTTAATAGCGCGTCGCGAGTATGCATAAACGAAACTGGAACATTCCGCTGTGGAGCGGCCGCGTCATAGCTCAGAAGCGAACATCCTCTTTAAGAATCCAGCCGGGTAGCGACGGTGGTCCTCCCCGGTCTTTACTATGTAAAACAGCCTCTATTCCCTTTTGTCCATCGGTTGGGTCACCTTTTGAGCGTTAAAGTTCTGACCGACACGGTGACGGCTCCCGTAAACCGTGAACGGACAAGAGTTTATCGTTTTCCGGTCCGGTTCGATATTTATGTAGTATCTAAAAAAGGTGTACCCCCCACATCCACGGAATCTTTTGAGACCTTCATGTACCGTGCCGCGGAATCTTCTCCTCTCCCTCGGAACCGTACTTTTCGCTTCGTTCGCGATATTCCTGGAATGCTTGCAGACTCTTGTTGCGTTTGACGAGATTTCCTGCTGAGATTTATCTGCCCCGTAAATATTCACGGCACAAGCGAAATATAAATCCCCGATTCTAGACTTAAATCTCCGGCGATAGAATTGTTTGAAAATGAACGAAGCTAGAAGTCATTAAGCTTCCTACATTTCCATTTGCAGTATTCATATAATATCTCTTTAACAAGTAGACATTTCAATTATTCGAAATAATATCTATCAATAATTCACTTAACACATTGCGTACTTACAAGGAGAAATCTCGTTTTTACATAAAGACACTTAGCTACGTAACTTCGCTAATTACCAGAATATTTAAAAAAATATTCAACTTCATCCGAATTGATTATTTAAAATATAAAACATAACAATATGATATCTGAGGTTTTCTATGCATAGCGGTATAAGTTGGTCTCACTGAAAATTGCCATCCACACGATTCAGTTTTCTGAAACTCAGCCGCAACGTGTTAACGTCAACATTAACGTCATATATTGTATACGAACGTTACAGATTTACACGTCAGGCTCAAACGTTCCAATAAAAACCACCCTGTATCAGTAATCCCTAACATCCTCTAAACCAAAACATTCCACATCATAAATTCCAACGACCTCCTCCGTCGACTGAATTTCAACGGAATCAATATCGTTAATGCCCTTCCGTCCGCAAGGACATTCTCCGCGAGATTCACTCGCGTTGGCACGCTCATGGGCAACCTGTTTCCTTGAGGAGCGCGCGGGTATAAACACGTCCGCGAGGATTTATCGTCCGACGACGTCGCGCGCGGATGTAATCACGTTTTCAAGACAGTTCGCCCGGCGAGCTTTTTTCGGCGGCCGTACAAATGGCCGACCATAAACGTGCCGCGGGAACCTTGATGCTTGACGCCGCGCCGCGTCGCGCGGGGGCGGTTGCACCATTAGCTTCCAGGTGTTCGATATCCCAGCCGTCGTCCCTCTTGTTCCCGGTGATCATGCTCCAGATCATCCCCCGGATGCCGGTGTAAGTTTCGCTATCCCGTCGACGATACAACGGCGATAGGGCGCGCGAGAGAAAGGGGGTTAGGTAATCCTCGCTCGTATAATCCCCCGGAGTTCTTGGAAATCGCGGTTAATGGGGTTTCTAAACTTTCCCGCGGATGCACTGCGACAGCCATGGGAAACAGGCTCCGTTCCCATCGCTGAAGGAGCCGTTTCAACAAATTCGTGACCAGATTGCTACGAATTAGTGAGATCGTTGGGTTAATGCGCTCGATCGTTTTCGGGCTGCGTTTGCTTCCTATTTGAAATTCTTTGACACTTGTTTGCGCATTTGGTTGCGGATGGAAAGTAGTTGAAGTGAGTGAATTTGAATTTTTTGTTGAGTTCTGTATTGTGGAGGTACTGTAGTTTTTGATGTGACTGATTCGAGTTATTGTGGCCTTTATAGGGATTGAGATTTGTGACGCTGTAGTCTTCGAAGTGACAGGTTGGGGATATAGTCGTCTTTGTAGCGACTGAGATTCGTGATGCTGTAGTCTTTAAAGTGATTGAGACTTATAACATTATAGTCTTTAAAGTGACTGAGATTTATAATATTATAGTCTTCAAAGTGACTGAGGTTAATGGTAATATAGTCTTTAAAGTGACTGAGATTTATAATATTGTAGTCTTTAAAGCGACTGAGATTAACGATATTACAGTCGTTAAAGTGATTGAGATTTATAATACTGCAGTCTTCAGCTGCCAAGACGGCACTGTTACCAATGCAATATTGTAATTCTTAAAGTGACTAATATTCAAACTACAGTTCCCAGCTGAATATAGTATATTAAAGAAACAAAGATTCTCAGATAATTGTGAAATTCTGGGGACATTGGAAGATCTTTTAAATATGATAAACATTTAATATCCCGTCACGTTGCTTTTGTTACCTCGAGCAATGGAAATTATCATAAACACAATGTATCAAATTTAAAATAAGATCATCAGAAATGTCGCATATACGTTCCCGGAGAAAAGTGTGAATCTCCTAAGAGAAACCATTCCGCTGTCTAGTAAGGTTCATCGCTGTTCTTATGGTTCATACACGAAGCTTTATTTATGCGGAGCGTTTCGTAATACGCGACGCAGCGTTCTTAATCTTGCCGGCGCATAACGGGAAGACGTACAAGCTGCTTTGGTACTTCGAAATATCGATTCGCATCTAGGCACACATTGTTCCAGAAGACAGTCCGGGTACGCTGAATACCGGGCTATTAATTAAGTTAACATTAATTAGGTTACCATGGGGGAAGTTTACCCGATCCGTTCTCCGACATCAATGCTGGGGAATCGCGGCTAAAAATGGCGGCATTCACGAAACCGCTGCGGGCTCTCGATATTCTCGCTCTCTATAGATTGTGAGAATTTAATCAGACATTTTTATAAGAATATCACCTGCTCCTTTCACCGAAATGTATTACATATATTTATTAAATATCAAAATATATTCTCCGTACAGTATTTTGAAAACACTAAAACCTTATATTTTGTTCTGCTTACTCTTAATATCTGTACATTCTCACCTTTTAAAAAGACACCATCCTTTTTCTAAGATATTCACGTTCAAACAATTAATTCAAGTCAACTAAGAATGCCAACAAAAAGACTCTCTGCAATGAAAATGACTAGTAATATATTTTCTAACATGATTCACCACTTTGTTACATGGTAAACGAAACTAATTTTCATGATGTTTGTAACGGTTCACACTGGTTTCCATACAAAAGAAATCATCATTGGGTTTGCTTAATTAAACAATATTCAACGTTTCTAAACAAATCGTTTGCAAACAAATATCTCTCGGTATCTGTACTAAGTCGATTCTTCGAATGCAACCTATAACGCGATCGTAAATATTCTCTGTTACATTGTTTCATGTTTACGAATTTTGGATACCTGTCGAATTTGCATTCAGTTAATCTTTTCCTTGCATCAGTTTCTTATGGAAAATCTCACGTTCATAGTGACTTTTCGGCGATTTTTTAAATCGCGTAGAAGTACCTACATACATTTTTTCTTAAGTTATGCAACTAAATGCAGGATTTAATTAGCGAACGGGCAAGACCTCTCGTGGGCGAATTTCCTCGGGGGTTGGAGCATTTCGCAGCACCCGTTATCTTTGAACGCGCATTCCTCCATCCTGTAATTACATTTTTCTACGTGCGCTTCCAGCCGACTGCGTTTCGGTCTGACCCTGCATCCGTAGTCGGCCCATGTGCAGGGAACTTGCTCGTCGGGATCGCACTCACTCTCCGACGAAGTGTACTCCTCCTCGGTGTGATACTTCCGGTAGTTGCATTTTTCTTGATGTATCAGCTTCCGCCGCCTCGGCATGTTGACCATGCACCCGTACCTCCTGAATTTACATTCCGTCAACTCTTCCGGAAGCTTCTCGTCGTCGGTCGTGATCGTTATCTCGTCCAATGTGTCGCTGATCTCGTGCAACGCCTCGAAACGATCTTTGTAGATACAGTGGGCCTCGTGAATTGATATTCTCCAGGGAGACGTCCTCACTCTGCAGCCGACCACTTGGTGCTTGCAATCGACCATGTCGTCGTGGTTGTGAGCCACGTCCGTTGGTAGCTGTTCTTCTTCTAAATGCGGTCGAAATTGGCACCTACGAGCGTATTATTGGTCTATTAGAATTGATTTATCTGAGGGGAGTAAGTGAAATAAGTTTCCCAAGAAATATTAAAACAGAAATTATTGGTATGAGAATCATTTGGGCTAGAGATATCAATAGAAAATCTATTAGTATGAAAAATATAAACAGAAGAATTATTTGGTGGGTATAGAAAATATTAGAATTAAAAATATTAACACGAAATCTATTCAGTAGGTATAGAAAATATTAGAATCAGAAATATTAACAGAAAAACTATTAGTATAGAAGATATTAACGTAAAAGCTTGGTATAAAGAATATTGGAACTAAGGAGATTAGTATACAAAAAATTCTGCAGGATCCTCATAGAATTTTTTCTCAAAACGTTGCTGACTAAAGGATGGGAAGTGAATAATTCTCTCATACTCACCGTGATTCGTGCAGGTCTATCAAGTGTTCTGGGATCTTCACCCAACATCCAAGATTAGCATACTTGCAGGATATAAGCACCTGATCTTCGGTTGGCCTTGGTGGATATAGGTTTCTCTCGTGATTGAGAAAATCGTCCATCGAGGGTGCACTCGGATGGTGTTCATGGGATTTTCGCGGGAGTGGGTGAGGCATAAAATGAGTGGGCGGGGGTGTTGAATAAGATGGACCGGTGTGTGGCGAAGGCAGCTCCATTTCTAGTGGCGACTGACAGGTGGGACAGGCGTAGTAGTACGGTTTGCAACGGTAACAAATCGTGTGACCGTTGGTGCAAGTGTACCTGGCCGCCAGTTCCATTTCCATGAGGCAAATCGGACAGACGCCCTCGCTTTTAAATCTCTCGTACAGATTCGGGTATAGGGTGTCCATGGCCTAGAAACAGAATGATTATTCTCTATAAAGTCAGTAGTTTTGAATTAAAGTGAAATTTCGAATTTGAAAATTCTCATAAATTCTCCGTTCTTCTGTAACCGTTCAAAGGAATTCTGTTTTAATCAATTTGAAATTTGAAATTTGAAATTTCAACTTTCAACTTTCAACTTTTAACTTTGAACATTTAACTTCCATTTTTAGACGTTTTGCTTTCAAATTACGAATTTTGAATGTTTCAGATAAAAACTTCATTTCTCTGCAATTTCAACAAATTCCATACGTTGGAATAATACAGAACTCGCAATATTTGAATTATTAAGCACTTACAAAACACCGTACCTCGGTTCACGAAAGGTAACCCTCACTCGAGAATTCCGTGTGCCCTGACAGCATCAATCTTCGAGCGACTCACCAATCTGAAATCGCATATCAGTTTTTAGGAGATCATTCTTATCAAAATTATCTTGGTTGAGTTCAAGCAGGAAGGTATTAAGAACAATACAGAATACGTTCCAGTTGTGTCAGATAAGAATAATGTTTAGTCAGTTGGCTGGTTATCAAGCCGGACTGCTTAAACAATCGTGGTGGGTTTTAATCATCTATCGATGTCACGCGAGATTTCCTGGTACAATTCCAGCATTGTGTATGAAATGAATCAGACCTATTTCTACTTTACCACGAACACTTGATGAAACAAAATCTTATCAATAAACTCATGAATTCAGTATCTAATATCTAAACTATCGCCGCGATTTTCCCTTACACAAAAAGCTCAACTCTTCTCAACCTCAGTGTTTCACCACCATTCCAATACATCTAAAAAATTGAAGTCAACATTAAAATACTAATCAACTAAAACAACAATCCAAACAATATTCTCACTCGATACATGTTTTCATCATCCATTCATTCTTCATTTACCCAACTCTTCCGACACAAAGAATTCCCCAAAACCATTCAGTACCATCAAAACCATCAAAAAGATAGAAACAAAAGGAACAAAGTGACATTTTCATATTCTAATCACTGCGTTAACCACCACGAGATGATCTTGAATGTTCTCGCGGCCCGGCGATCAGTTTGGCGACCCAGTGTCCGCCATTTCCGGCGTTCTTCGGCTTCCGGCGCGGGTGGCGCGGCGCGACGCAGCGCGCGGAAAACACTTATCCGTCCGCGACCACACGTATACACGGGGACGCGCGGGCCCCGAACAGATTACAATCGATCGTGCTGAATTTACTCACTCGACTCTCGTTGTTCTCGTCCTTGCAGCGGCGGCGCCGGCCGGGGCGAAACTGAAATTACGGTCGCGCGAAGCGGAGGGACAGGAAAAAAATAGCCGTCGCGGCACGTACGCCTCCGTAACTACGGGCGTCGTGTGTCATCGTCGAACTGTCAGCGTTCCCTTATTTGCCAAGACCGATAGCGCGACTTTATCTGATAAAGCCGGCCCGTTCCTGATAGGGAACCATTTTCGCAGCTCGCGAAGATCTCGCTCCGAGAAACGAGATCGACGGGACTGGATCGTCGGCGTTGCTCTTCGTTGTTATGCATGCCGCGGCGACGGAAGGTAACCGACGCATTTATCAAAATGTCGTGCAACTAACGAAAAAATTTGAAATTTCGTGAGATTTTTTCCCCCCGTTTCGCTGCTCTGGTATTAACACTGATAATAGAATTTATATAAGTTCGTAAGAATGTTTTATAACGTAAATAAGTGGGTAATACTGAAATGCGAGGATTATGTTACTGGATAATTGACAATTATTTGTATTTACCTTTCACACAGGAGAATAAGGTATATGACAGACTTAAGATTCTCGTGGCACTACACGTATTTTGTGAATACTGTGAGTGTTCTGGGAATGTTATCGAGTAACTCGATTGCTTTACATTTCGTGAATTGGTTTTTGACGATGATTTGGTAGAGTTTATTAATTATCAGAATATATAAGTCAGAGAAAGAGAAAACATTACGTGGTTCCAAATATACATATATAATCGTTCGTAATTCTTGATAAGATATCGTTGATTAATCGGTAGAGTTTAAGATACCTATGATGCCGAGTTTCTACACGTGTATTCGGTATACAGTGACCATTGCCAATAGCGAGTTAAATGTTTAGTTGATTGTATCACAGGTTGTTTACAGTATTAATTGTTGTTTTCGAGTTATCTCTCGCTGTTTAATTTTGAGTTAACGTTGAACGATGGCCAGTGTAACGTCGAACCTCGTAACGTGTGACGGATTCCTGTTTCCAGTTTGATTACTTGACCGTTCGCCAGTGACAGTTAATTATGGATGAAAAATTGTTACCGGCAGGAGCGCGACCCCTCGACTACCGCTGGCTTGTTACGCAGTATCCATTTTGGTCCCCCCGATGGTCACTACTGATAATCTTCGCGTGAGATCTGGGATTATGTTTCACGGCTGCGTTCCTTGGTCCCCTGTTGCTTCGAATATTTCAGCAACGATTCGGCTACTATTTCGAGGTGTCGAGTGTCGCTTTCAGATTTAAATATTTTCGTGTCCATTTCTTCCATCTCAATTTAACCATTTAAACTTAGATTAGCACTAGAACTACCTTACTTGTCAAAATAACTGGTTTCACTTCTCTTATTTCCCGGTTATTGATGTCTTAAAGGGTTAAATTTCTGAAACGATTTTAAACATAAGTAGTTTCACTTGTTTCAATCTGTTGTTAGAATTTTGATAAGGGTTACATATTAATCATAATAAATGATCGGAATGTTTCTATTTAAAAAACAACATTTCGCACGTTACCGTAATTATTATGTATTTCATTGCTCAGATACTTTTAGTCACTACGCTGCGTGAACTATTTAATTACGTACATATGATTTTCGCAGCTTTTTAAATTTTACCTGAAATTTGTTAAATATTTAATTTCGACGTTCTTTCTTTTTTACTGTGACCTTCAAGCGTCAAGTTATTTAGAGTTATCTTAACGATTTCAAACGTACCGCTTTGCCATAAAACATTTGAGATAGTAGGCTCGTTAATATCGTAACGCGCGACGGTTCTCTCTCTTTAATTCCACTTTGAGCTCATTAATCCCAACGTTCTCCATTCGCACACGGAGCACGAGTATTGATTACAGAGCAGAGGTGTTATTGCAGTTACAACTTTAATTATACGGGACCGTGAAATATATTCGATTATTAGCGTAGTTATCTATATTACCAGTTCCCGGCACCAACGATAATTTTTAATTTTTCCAATTTCTGTAACATTTATCCTTTCATGCTATAATGAACGCTATAAAATACTGCATACGAATAGAGAGTACGCTGAAAGTCATTGAAAAAATATAGTTTAATTTTGCACAGAACAAATATTCGAAATCGCTATTCATAATTAAAAAGAGGTCAGAAATATAATCAAAAAATATTCCTTTGGAAAATGTAAGCTTCCTTTGTGTCATACATTTATAACAAGAGTTATATAATATCCTTGTAACACTATTAGTATTTCTTATTTAATATGCCAGGTCTATCGGAAAGTTCTGTTCGTTTTTGAACGAAAAGAATATAATACACTTCCAATGCATTTATTAATATTTACTGAACAATATAATTTCCATATGTTACTAATGACCACTTCCCAGCGTGATGGTAATTTGTAGATTCCATTTCTGGAAACTGACTCCTCCTTCGAAACATAAGATGACATTATCGAATAGAACTTACCTACTATTTATGTATAGTAGAACATAATATTTATTAAATATTAAATACAATCTAATATTCACTAAATATTAAATACAACCTACTATTTACTAAACATCACATATCAAATAGAACCTACGTATGACCCAGCCAGTCAGCATATTCCAGTAACCAAGCACACTAGACTGCATTTATTACCTGCTGTCCGTGATAAAACAAAATTTCATTTTTACCGTAACGGACCAATTACAAGAGATGGAATTGGCGGGGGTGCGAACGTTGGCTTTTTTCCTACGTAATACGGTAATTTCCATGCGGTCTTGAACTTCCGCCGTTAATTCGTTGCCGTAATGGGAGCACCCGCTCCTTTCGCTGGCCAGCACGCGTCGCACGAAACCAAATACGCGCGTATGATATTCTACACCCCGGCTCATAACGACCATCCCTCATTTGAATCCCTACGCGAACGTCACATCAAAGATATCCGAGCGGACCATTCCTCCCTCCGCCGACACGCGGGCAATATCCACTGACCATAAGTCACTTATGCAAATCCGCGAGATGGAAACACGCGTCGCTTCGCGGTGTTGCTCGACGTCTACGACGAAACAAATTGAATTTAATATTCAACGGTTCCTAGGCCAGCCGTAGCCGTCGGTCACGGTCGACCCGCGACGAAATTTTCTGACACGACCTTGAAACATGCCATTCAAATCCCACTGATAAATAGCTGCTCGGTTGACAAGCTTCGGGATGAAGGAAATGAAATTTGTCTCGCGATTTATGACGACGAGCTTCGTTCTTAGTTATTGGTGTCTGATACTCTTACGCATGATTGTTCTTGATGGAAAAATTTATCTTTAATTGGTTGATACTGGAACTACCGTACCCGCCATGATAACGGAGTTTTCTTATTTTGAATTTAACCTTTAAGTATGGAAGTTTGAGAATTGTCGGTTAATGTCGAATGTTCTAGTTTGTAGGAATTAATAGAACATGTACTGTCTTTGCTTGTTTTCACTTGTCTAAATATGTCTACATAGCAATAGCATCAACTGTATAACGAAAATTTCACTGGTTTGAACATTCCGATATTTTATGTAGAGTTTTCTTATTTTGAATGTAACCTTTAAGTATAAAAGTCTGAGAATTATCGATTAATGTTGAAAGTCCTCGTTTATAGGAATTAATAAAAAAATGTATTGTATTTGTTTGTTTTTACTTGTTTAAATATGTCTACATAGCAATAACATCAATTATAGAACGAAAATTTCACTGGCTTGAAAATTCATGAGATTTTATGTAGAGGTCTTTGAGATCGCACGTCCGCGCCTAAAGGTTAATCGTATTACTTCGAAATATTTCAATCTTTCTACGGGATCTGCTGCTTCACAAATTCGGATGACACGTTGGCCAATACGAAATTCCTCGATCACGTTCGCTCAACTGTGTCACGTATCATCTCCCGATACACGGTATCGTCGTGATGTATAACCAGTTGCGAGACAGTGAAAAACTGACACATCTATTACGGTCTCGATATTTCAGTCGCGTTATCTAAATCGGTTGGTCTACAGGGGATCCAACCTTCTTATTCCAGCGTCGCGTCGTCGTCCCGTGATATAATTCGCGGCGTTTTACCTTCTCTTTCTCTGCGAGTCATTGTCACGCGTTTTAATGGGTCAATGAAAGAAATGCGGGCGGAGTATCGAAGGGGGTTTCTGACAGAACACCATAATGAGAAGCTACCCCCTTTCAGTCGTTGAAGTTGTCACGAAATTTTCGAGCGGGAACAGAAAAGAAGACGATAGCGCGGGGCAGACAAAAAGGACGGCAATTTATTCGCGTTGGCTGTTGCATTCAACTTTCTGGGGGTGGCTGGCATCAAATTTAATTTTGACAGTGAGAAACATTCGAGAAATATACACTTGTTTATGGATAACCTTGAAGAACTTCATTCTTAAGAGGATAAATTAGAAATACCGTAATCGGGAAATAATATATTTATGTAGCAATTATATCAAGTATAATATTGATTTAATAATAATTTTGGGGATTAAAGCTAACAAGAAATACTATATATAATAAAGATTTAGTAAATTATAGAATTCATGCAATAATTATAAGGAATCAGCTTGTAATGTATTTTGAAGCCTACGTTCCCCAATCATTCTTTTTTAATGAAGTTTATGTATTCAGGAAATGTTAATAACATCTCCAGTGCTCTTACAACAACGCTGTCCGTGTACCTAACATAGACAGGCAGATAACATCGAACGTGACTGTTTCAGAAGAACGCGGATGTAAGATTAAGCTTGATTCCGCATCGTAAGCATGTTTGATAAATCGGTGAAATAATGAAATCTCTCGTGAACCAGATAAACTTCGACTCGTTCGCCTCTTTACCTTTTTTCCTTCGACAGCTTCGTCAACGAGATATTCGGTAAACTGAATAGTGATCGTGGTCCCATTACCGAAAGAAATAGGTGTCGTTCCTTGACACGCAATCTCGGTTATCCGGAATTGCTTATTCGAATCAATCGTGCAGGGAATTCTGTTGTACCGTAATTCCATGCTGATCGATACAGGTGATAGAAAGGTATTGTGAAGCTTAATACGCCAACTAGCTCGGTGATTGATTCGTCCGTATTCTCGGGATCTCTTTACTCGAGCGTAATCGATCTTCCCCGCCCCCAGCGAACAGCTTTATTGT